ACGCTTCAAGAGGTAAATACACGAAACCCTAGTTTCGATTCGTTTACGTTTAAACTATGAATTCATGTTTGCTATTGTATGATTTTATGTGATTATGTGTAATCGTTTTAATCTTTGCAAGCATGATTATTGGTTTAAACGCGACCATGTTAATTGATTTAAATTCGGTTAAATTATTTAGCATGTATGTTGTTTTTAATTTCGCTGGAAGCGCAAAGGTACGCAATTAATTGATTTTAATTTGTCGGGCATGTACTTGTGTGCTTTAAAGTCGTTTAAATCACATTAAATTTTTGTTTTCCGCTGCGTATGCGTGCCCGAAACCCAACATATTAGACTTATGTTTTTAATTAATTTACAAAAAATCAATTAAATGCATTGAATACCCTTGTGCAGATTCTCAAAAAATGATAATATACTATTTTATTAGTTCAATAATAAAATTATGTAGCTAACAACGAGACTTTTAGTCTACTATCCTAACAGCAGGCTGGGTGATTCAAGTTTCAACCAAGAGCCAGAATTTGTATGTTCCTTGGTATGAAAGGTTACAAATTATTTGATCTATAGTCCAAAGAAGTTTTTATTTCAAGAGATGTCATATTCCATGAGAATGTACTTCCATTTACTTCTAAAGAGTTCTCCATTATTGAATGTCACATTGACTTATTTCATGACCCAGTTCTACCTAATTTTATTCATTTTTCTGACTCTTCTACTTCTCATGATCAGATTTATCCTACTGACACTAATCTTCTTGTTAGCACTCCTGCCGTTCAACCTATCTCTTGCAGTATCTTTTGCTCTAGTTGCACCTACTCCTGCTGTTTTTGTTGCTCCTGCTTCTTATGATGCTAATATTGTTCTTGTTCCTGATCCTTGCACCTCTTATTCCTTCTAGAAAATCTTCTAGACAAATCAAGAAACCTGCTCATCTTAATGATTACCATCTCTTTGATGTTATTTCTCATCATGCACTGTCTGATACTCATAAAAAATTCACACTCAACATGTCTGTTGCATCTATTGAACCTAAGTTTTACCATCAGGCTTCTAATGTTCCTGAATGGGAAGATGCTATGCATGAAGAGATATCTGCGAACATAATAATTCTTGGTCTGTAGTTCCTTTATCCACTTGCAAGCATCCTATAGATTGCAAATGGGTTTATAAGATTAAAATAAAATCTGATGGAACTATAGATATGTATAAATCACGATTTGCTGTACACAACAAGAGGTTGTTGGCTATTTATAAACTTTTAGCCCTGTTGCTAAGCTATCTACTGTCAAAACATTACTTTCTTTTGCTGCGGTCAAAGGTTGGTGTCTGGATCAAATTGATATTAATGATGCCTTTCTTAATGGAGATCTATTTGAGGAAGTATACATGACTCTTCCTTTAGGCTATTTTGTTCCTCATTCTCAGCCTAACGCTATGGTTTGCAAGCTGACCAAATTTTTATATGGCTTGAACCAAGCTTCTAGGCAATGGAATTCAAAATTAACTGACGCCATTATCAATCTTGGTTTTGTTCAATTCAAGGCTGATTATTCCATGTTCAATAAGGTTATGATGGCTCTTTTATAGCTTTACTTTTCTATGTAGATGAAATTATCTTGTCAGCTGTTATTTCTTCTCACACTGCTCTTTTAAGTCAGCAATTCAAGCTCAGAGACATGGGAATGCTCAAATATTTCTTGGGAATTGAGGTGGCAAGATCTGCCAGTGGCATTTGCATATCTCAAAGACAATACACACTAAAACTTTTAGAGGAAACTGGTTATCTTGTATCTAAACCCTATCTCCAGATGATGGTCAACATTTTGAAGACATCACTCAATACAGGGGTTTGATTGGCAAGCTTCTATATCTTACCAAAACAAGACCTGACATTACTTATGTTGCGCACAAGCTTAGTCAGTATGTTTCCAAACCTTTCACCACTCAACTTCAAGTTGTCCACCACATCCTAAGATACTTAAAGCAGGCTCTTGGTCAAGGATTATTTTTCTCTTCTAACAATTTTATTTCTCTCAAAGCTTTTGGTGATGCAGACTGGGGTTCTTGCTTAGATTCTAGGAGATCAACCTCTGGTTTCTGGGTTTTTTTGGGAGATTCCCTCATATCTTGGAAGACCAAGAAGCAGGCAACTGTTTTCAGATCCTCTGCCGAGGCAGAGTATAGATCCTTAGCCAGTGAATTAGTCTGGTTGTAACCACTTCTCAAGGATCTTCAACAAGAAGTGCAGCATTCCACTAATCTATACTGTGACAATTCAGCAGCCATTCACATTACTACCAACCCTGTCTTTCATGAGATAACTAAGCATATTAAAGTCGATTGCCACTATATTAGAGAACAAGTTTCTAAATTAACTATTGGATTGCTTCATATTCGTTCCGAGTTCGAAATTGGAGGTATCTTCACCAAAGCACTACCTAAAGCTGCATTCCATCAGCTTCTGTTCACGAGGTTGTGAAAGACATTCACAGTCCACCCTTGGGGGGGGGGGGGGTATTGGAGTATTATATATTTTAGGGCAAAGTTCACTTTGCACCGTTGAATTATGGGGTATGTATCAAAGACCCCCATAAATTACAAAATGTACCAAAACGGTTCATCTATTTCCAATTCATTTGTGGTGTGCTAATGTAGCAAGTTGATTTTCTCAAATTAATCTTTTTTGATATTTTTACCCCTCACTTGTTATATCTATATGTATATATGTATAAAGATATACACATTTTATTTTATGTGTAAAGATGAATATATTTTGCCCCATAATATTTTATATTTTCTTAACCTATTAATATAGTAAAATATTTAATTTATATTTTTAGTTAGTTAATAAAATTGGTCTCACATACTCACTGTCATCTTTACTTTTAGTCCAAAATTAAGACTTATCTCATAATCAAATATTGCCTAAGATTAGAAGTTTATTTACTCATGAGATTGTTTTGTCTTTTGAAGAACTCAATTTTGGAGAAAGAGAGATGCGCAAAGAAGAACTTATATTGGGGCAAAGAAAAAAGAAAAAAATGAATAATAATGTATGTAATAGTAATAAGGGTAAAAAGGTAATTTTCACCCCAAAACTAGTAGAGTTGATTTTTTAATGTTTGACTAGAAAAGGCAGAGGGCTATTTGGTACGTTTTGCAATTCAAAGGGGATATTTGATACATACACGATAATTCAGGAGTGCAAATTGTATTTTCCCCTATATTTTATTTGTAATTTTATATTTAAATACTAATAAAGTTGTGTTTTATAAACGTGTTTTATATTAGCCATTGTAACAGCTCAGCATGAGTATATAGTTAGTCTGTTAGTTAGAAAAAATCATCTTCTTCATTATATCTTTACATCTCTGCAAATAAACTCACATAATTTTTTTTTTTTTTTTTTTTTTTTTTTTTTTGGTAATGCAGGAACCCGCAGCTAACCATATAGGTGCACTGGGTAAACCTACACTCTCGTATAATAGCTTGCAAACCATACGAGAGATGTAAACCACACTAGGCTAACCATGTGTGACAAGCTCGACCTAGCGACCGTTGGCAAGGGGATTCGAACTTGGGTCAATTGACCCAAACTCTCTAGCTCCAACCGCTAGGCCACCCTTGCGGGCAACTCACAGAATTTTGAATGTATATGAAATGTTGCTTTAAATTCTCTTCAAGCTCCTGTGAATACAAATTCAATGCACATCATAGTGCAATTTGCAACAAACTGAAACACAAAACAAATATTAATAGCAATAGCGAAATAAAAATACCAAAACAATTGAAAAACAAGCAATTCAAGTATGTTCAAACAGTTATTTCACAATTGTAATTTTTCCAAAAACAATGTTGAACCAATTATATTACACTCAAATAGTACTTTCCCAATTATATATTACTGTAGCAATATTTTACTGAGTCTCAAAAAATGAAATACGAAACATAAAATGTTAGAGGAGACACCAACAAGATAAATTTGTCCACTATCAAATCAATATGTTATCCCAAATTTGTTTAATCAAACTTAATAGTGTATTTGCCGTTTAAGAATTGATGCATAAAATATTTTCGAAGCTCATGATCCCATTTTATACTATCCTTTTTTTCACCAAAGATTGTTGGAAGCAAAATTGTCGGTGCAATAATATGCGCGACAAACAACACGCTATCAAACGAATCAATTATTTTGTTGGTGTAATGTCGCGACGGACAAACTCACAAAGTTTAATTGAATCCCCAACCTCATATTCATACTACCCCTTCCGGAAATTTGATCATGTACATATGGCATCGAAATTCGATCCGTTGTTTTGTTTCTCCTTGAAAAAATCATGTGTTGAAGTGCTGCCACAAGCATTTAGATTTAACGTAAAACACGAGTTTTAAGTGTGGGCAGCTTGTCCATTGGACATTTACAACACGGCTTATTTTTTACTTCATTTCTTTTTTTTTTTTGTCAACTTTCTTCTCGACTCATCAATCTAACGGTAGGATGAAATAACCCGTAAGATATGCTTAAATTACGGATTTATTACAGAAAATCACAACTTATAACCCCCGATTTGTTTTCATTTATTCTAATTTCTTTGGTGTATATTCTAATCCAAAATTATTTGAAACAAAAGAGAATGAAAAAGATAGAAAATAAATACACGTACTTTCACTAAAAAAAATGACATTAGTGACACCACAATTATTACATTAACTGAAACATTTTTTTTTTCACCAATAGCTCTTTTTGTTGTTACTTAATCCTTTTTTTAATCTCTATAAGGAATTAATGATATTTTTTTGTAGTCACTAATAGCTATTTTTGTTGTCACTTAAAAGAGCAATGTATGCGAACTCAGGGAAACAACAAAAACAATTCTCGAAAGAGTCAATTGAATAGATAATTATATTAATATTCCTTAATAAGAAGGATCCAATGCATATAGTAGTACAGTTTCTTCATAGAAAAAAGATACTCACAAAAACAGTGGAATTATCGTTTAGCCGTAGCAACGTCCAATAGTAAACGAATAGGGTGCAAAATTGATATGATCGCCAATGTAGTAGAAACGGTAGGCATCTGAGCTAATCAATTCTCTCCCCTTGTAAAACTCGCAAACGCCTGTGTTCCCGATTTCCGTAATGATGGTTGGGTCGCCTCCGACTTTTATTGACTCAAAATTAGGACATAGTAACTGCACGTTAGAAAGGTTGCAGGTACATGTGTTGGTGACGTCAACCACCCACTCTATTCTAGAACTTATTATTCTCCCCGTCGGGCTCTGCGTGATTTGAACCTTGTCCGGGGTGCATGATGCGGCGTCGCCTAAACCTTCAATCAAACATAAACCATATACTTAATTAATTAATCAACATGAACACAATCAACCATGTACTGTTATTTCGAATTGCTAAAAAACCTTCTTATGTTATTCTTGTTACCATAAGCAGTGGCGATTTTTCGAGTGTTTGGGGCCAGCGTCCCCGAAATAAAATTTAGGATTGTATTTGACAAAAATATAAGTTTTTTTTTGAAATAGGAAAAGAAAAGGAAAAAAATTAGGACTTTTTTGCATTAATGTGGTTCTTGGGTGGGCTAAACAAATATATAGATATATATAATGAGACAATTAGGATTTTTTTGCATTAATTTAAATTTTGGGTGGGCTTAAAAATAAATATTGGGTGAGCTAAATAAATATATAGATATAATATAGTGGAAAAAAATTCAATTGAGGGGGCTTGAGTCTACACTTGCCCCTGATCATAATTCCGATCGTTTTTTAGATTTTAAATAAGCACGAAGAATTTTTGAAATTCTCTCAAAGATTATTCTTTTAATTAAAATGTATATTTCAATACATTCTTGAATTGTCATAACTTTTAAGTAATTAATAATACAATTAACAAAATCGATTAAGTTTCATACAATTTATCGTCTTCGCTTGTTTCTTTTCTTTCTTATGTGAATACTACATTTTTTTAAAATTTTGTGTGATTCTTATCATAAAATATTTATACTTATTTTACATAGTTTTAAAAAAGAAAAAAAATGATAAAAATTATGCTTGTTTTAGAATTTTCACATTCTTGAATTTGTATAGAAAACTTTATTTTATCAAACAATTGTTATATACTTTCTGTAAAATGATATATTTATCGTATACGGTATACTTGATTTCTGTTTATATATATTACATAAAGTAGTACATCACAGCATATGTGAATAATAATTGAGGAAACGAATATACCTTTGGGAATAATTAAGGAAATAGACAGAATGAAACAAAGGGCTCTGACGATGGGTCCTGCTGCCGTCCACATTGTTTACACAGTTAAATAATATTGATGCTACGTAGTACGTACTGCTCTTGTCTCTCACCAAGATGTTAAATTAATGTTTATTTTGCAATATTATTTATAGAGTTAAAAATATTGGTTGTAATATTATTTAGTTGTAATTTTCCAAAATTTACAGAAGCACGTTTTCATAAAGCGTAGTTAATGTAAATCGTGATTTGGACAAATCTTGTAGTCAATGTTTAGTTTATTATTCTCCATATAATATATAATATATATACACACACACATAACTTATGTGTAAAATATCAAGCAATACAAATACTTATGCACATGAGATTTTGCGTATCGTTCTTTTATATATTACAGAATCTAGTTATTAAATGTCATATTAGAGAATCTTTTTTACATGATTCTTTTATTTTGTAAACCTTCGAAACTTTATATATCATACTTACTTTCATACTTTGTATCTCTAAAATTGTTTTGTAATTAGTTTGAATATCATTAAATATTTCGTATCTGTTTATGCAATCAAATTTATATTTCACTTTCATAGAATTTCACTATTTCAATCAAATGGTATTTGGTATTTCAATCTTTACTGAATTTTTAAGAGTTTATTTAATTTCTTTGGGGCTATACAAATAAGTCTATCATGGACTACTTATTTATAAAGAGATTCAGATCAAAAACTATTTTACAAAAAAATACAGACATAGTCCAGAGTTGTGTAAAAGACTAAATACCCCTCACATTTTAATATGCTCTAATTTCATCTCTTTAATCCTATTTAACATTAATTTGACCCCAAAGTTCACCAGTTATTTAATGTTGACCTCTAACCCGATTTTGACTGTTGTCGCCGGTCAACCGTTGTTGAATTTTCAGTTTTTTTCCTGTTGTCGTCGCTAACCGGCAGTCAACGCCGGTCTCCAGCAGCATTGACCTTTTTTTTTTCTGAACATTTTTTGGCCCCCGTAAAAAATAGTAATATCAATGTGGTTGACATAAATATTAAGTATATTACTGTTTAACGCAGTCATATTGCTATATTACTATCTAGAACAATAATTTTAACACAACAAATTCATTATGTTACATAATAAATTATTGTGTAATACAATATTTATTATTATGTTGACCAATCAACAAACGCAAACATAATAAAAGATCAAAAAAATCAATAGTGATGTGGTTCACAGTAATATTACGGTAACGACAGTAATATTACTGTCAACTAGAATAATATTATTGTGGTTACGGTAATTTGGACCACAATCAACCACCAAGGTCATGTAGTATCTGACTCTTTTGGCCCTTTTGCAACGTCTAGGTTCATCTTCATCTTGATTTGTACCACTTGTACCATCATGAGTCCTCTTATTCGAACATATTTCACTTGTCTTTGTAGACATCAAAATTTTGAGATAAATTACTAATTAATAACCAAAATAAATCGGTTACTAATTTAGGTCTCAAATTAAAGTCCATAACATATTTGGGCTTTAGAATGTCCCGTCCACTATGCAAGTCGAGAAACCCTAACCCTAGCTTGTGCCTATAAAAGAAGATCTTTGGTGCATCTAAAAATCAGACTCACCGAAACACATATCGAGCTCTCAAGCTCAAGTCTCGAGCCTCCGCCTCGAATCGAATTCATAACATATTTGACTTCGAGGTGTTCGTGATAGGAAATCAGTCGTTCGATTCAAGAACAAGCTTTTAAGCCCTTGAATCAAAATTAGAATAGGAGAGATGAATCACGGGAATTACGGAGATTCTAATCCACATCGTTTTCATTAATAAATTATTTGTGTTCCCTGTTTTCCTGTCTTGTATTTTTATTATACTTTCCAGACTCGAAAATTTGTGGTTTACAGTCTCTTTACAAGGAAATACCTTTTCAAAGAATTTTGCACTCCTTGATTCGATTGTCATTGAACGATTATGTCGGGAATTTCAGACTTATTGTTGAGTGTATATTTTACACTCAATGTATACTTTCTTACGAGGATTTTTGTATACTTTTATTGATTTAATGATGCTATATGAGTGGTTTATTGTATTTTAGGTACAACTTGACGATTTGGAAGTTCCAAGGACGAAACGAGCCAAAAAAGGTCAAAAACGGGCAAAAACGGAAGAAAACAAAAATGCTGAAATTGGCTGAAAAATGCCCGCGCGGCCGTGCCAAATTTAGCCTATTTTTGGCACGGCCGTGCCAACTGCAGAATTTGGGCAGAAGGTTTCGGCGATTCTCGTGCGACCGTGTGAGATTTTTACTGATTTTCGCGCTGCCGCGCAAACACACGCTGGAGACAATTTTGGGCTTTTAATCACACAAGGAAACCTAAAATCATCTACCAAGTTGGGACATCTATTTAAGGGCAAACCAAACACGAATTAAAGATTTTCGACACAAGCTTGGAGCGAGAGGAGCGGAAGAACGAAGATCAACGAAGACTCAAGCATTGTTTTTTCTTATTTCTTTTATTAATTCTATTTTATTTATCATAAGAATACGAGTAGCTAAGCTTTTAACCTAGGATTTTGTTGGAACCCTATGTGGGGATGGTGAACCCGTTTTCTTCAGATTATGCAATTATGATTTTATGTTTATTTCTTCTACTTGTTATGATTGTTAGTGCATGAACTTGATCAATTTATGTGCTTTATCTGTGATTATTGGGATTGACTCGACAGAGCTATTTTGATAATTAGACGGTAAGTATAAGAGCCTTCGAGTAGTTTTCACCGGATGAGTGTGTCAATTGCATGTGGTGTCGTAGACATACAGATATCACCTTAGGTAGCCGTTTACGAGACTTGTTAGTTAATGCTTTATTCATAATTTGTTTGCATAGACATATAGTGAACCGTTTATGAATAATAAACTCATAATACACGCGACAGCTGGTTATGAGTAAATTAGTGTCTCGGGTTAATAATCATGAATCATATATTTCATAACTGAGGGGTTTTGGGTGAGCAATTCTTGCATAGGGGGAAGATAAAATCCAAGGTCCGTTTTTATTGATATTTTCTCGTGTTTATTTGCTTTCATAATTAGTTTAATTATTTAGTTGAGTAAATTTGACAACTTTGCGTAGGCTGGATAAAAATCATAATTGTTAGGATTTGGTACTTAGGATTAGATAATTCGAGTATTCCCTGTGGGATCGACATCCGAATCTCACGAGTCCACTTTTACTACTTGTTTGCAATACGTGCACTTGCGTGTTAGGTATTTAGCACCCAACAAGTTTTTGGCGCCGTTGCGGGGGAATACGGTTAAATTATCTATTTATTCTAATATCAAATTTGAGCAATTTTTCTTACTTCAGCCATTTAATTTTTTTTTTATTTTTTTTTCATTATTTGTTTTTTGTTGTTTTTGTTTCATATCTGGTTACGATGTTCGGGCACCTCAAACGGGATATGAATGGTTTCCATTTGACGAATACCTCCAAAACACCTATGATATGCCTCCGTTTTGTTCAGCATGTGGTGAAAATCATTATTCCAATCAATATTGGGGATCACCAACAGCGACGAATTTCGACGAAATTACCAACGGAGGTTATTGGAACACTTACACCAACAACACATACGAGGAAAGCTTTCAAGACCAAGATCTCAACGAGTTTCAACATAGAGAGCCACAATTTGATGATTTTCAAAATTATTATCCAATGCAGCAGCAGCAGACCACTGATGAACAAGTTAATTTGGTATCCCTCATTGCCGAATTCATGAAGTCCACTCAAGCATCATTTCGAAACATGGAGATGCAACTGGAAGAGATGACGCTCAAATTAAAATCTGAATCTCTTGAAAATATTCCAGACGAAACCGGCAATGGTTATATCAAAGAAAATTCGGGTGAAGCTTGCGGTGAGAAAAGTCTTCTATGTCCGGAAAATAGTGTCGATGTGAGAGAAATAGAAATTACGAAGACACTTGAGCATGATGAATCTGAGAAGGCAATCGAGCTAAACCACGAAGATGCCTCAGAACACGAGAAGAAGGAGATGGATGTAATGATTGAAGATATTCTAGTTGTGGACTCTGTCGTTGATCTAAATGTGGATTTGAAGGCATCAATAGTGGTTCATGAGAAGACTAATATTTTTGAGGTGGAGGTTATACGCAGACTGGAGATTTTTGTATACCGATTTGAGGGATCGAGTGATGAAGATCCCATCTTGGCTTCGTACCGATTGATTACAACCAAAAAAAGACTACAAGCTAAGGTGGACCGTGACATATTGTAGTGCTATCCATGCCTTTGTTGCAATTGAAGTGATAGAGCTCATGGATGGATGCGCAATCTACAAGGCTTTGGATTGGACATAACAATTTCAAGAAGCAAAGTCTGGCTGAAGACTTAAAATTTAGCGCTTCTCGGGAGGCAACCCGAGCTTTACTGTTTTTCATATTTTTCTTTAATTTTATGTTTTATTTTTATTTTCATAGGCATGCATTCTAATTAATTTATTTGATTTCTTGTTTTTAAGGTCAGAATTGCGATCGGGACAGTCATCCGAGAGACATAGAGGGCATCTTCGCAAGAGGGAAATCTGATTTCTTTCCACAAATTCTCACACCCCGAAGACAACGATTCCGACTAAATCAGGTGTTTTCTATCCTTAAACTTTGTGCTAATTTCGTTGAGGGCCACGAAAATTTTAAGTTTGGGGGTGAAAAAAACATGTTTTTTTTGTGCTTATTTGTTTTAGTTTGCATGCATTAGGTTTTATTTATTTTTATTGCTTTTATCGTTTTTTTCGGAATAAAAAAAATAAAAAATAAAAATAATTGCTTGAGTCGAATGCATCGATGAGTTATAATGATGAGAGATGATCAATGTTTAATGATGAAATTGCTTGCTTTATCTTGATTGTGATTGAATTTTGGTGAGCTTTTGATTCAAAGTGTCGTAGGAAGTAGTCATTGTTAGGAATCACGAATTATGCCTTTCTTTGGTTGAAAGTTTTGTGTTTTAAAACGTGGAATTAATT